AAAGAATAAACGAGACCTCATAAGTCATTCAAAACGCAATTTCCCTTGATGTAACGCAATTTCCAATAGTAATTTATCATGCAAATGGCAATACACACGCTTGTTTCCAGCTTGTTTTCAAGTCTAAACAATCGTGTTTCATCGATTCGCGATAAACGTCTACGCGTTACAAGATGAATGCATCTGTTTTCATCGAGAGAGTGTATAGAGTGGCGATGAAAACAAATTGTTACACGCTTTTCCTCACGGGAAGAAAATCTATTGACAGTGGTGTATCGTTTATCTATGTATTCTCGACGAGGTGAGACGAGAAGAGATGAAAGAGAAAGAGAGAGAGAGAGAGAGAGAGAGAGTGGAGAAATTTTTGAGATAAATTGTGATCGACTGCTGCCATTCCCGTTTATTCCCACCTCATTTTTTGCCTCTCTTCCCTCTTCTATTTTTTCTCTTTTTCTTTCTTTCTTTCTTTCATTTCTTTTTTTTTTTTTTTGTTTTTTCATCGAAAAACAGCGTTATGGTAAACATCGAAAGGATGAGAAAGTTAATTTCTCGTTTGCGCGGGGAAAAATGAAATACAAAATGGGACCGCTTCGAAGCCAACTATTACAACTCGACGAAAAGGTAATCATCACGTTAATCGTACAGAGGGGAAACAAATAGCTAAAGGCAGTTTTGGCAATTTTTTTTGTTGTTGTTGTTGGATTTTTACACGACAGAATGTGTATTAAAAAAAAAGAAAAAAAATTGATGATACGAGATATAGGGGAAATATCGTTCAAATTTAATACTTTATATTCTTTTTCTCTCTTCTATTTTAATTACAAATTTTTTGACCCATCTCCCTTTTTACCCTTTTGCTTTTTCTCTCTTCAAACAAGCTTTGTAGATGTATTCAAAAGTGATACGCGTTACACGTTCTTTGCAAATATATAAATCCAATATGTACATGACTTTCTTGTTTCAAAATGTAATATGCGATATATATATANTTTGTGTGTTTTGTTTCATATTTTTTATTTGCGTACAGTTTTGCAGTTTCGCGTATATTTTCTTTTATCAAGAATTTCAGATGTATTTTTGTGAAATTTATTCAAATATGTTTTTCGCTTGATCCTTTCTATGTTCAAAATCATCGTAACAATAGGTGAAACAGGTTTCGAAAATAGCGGCAATTTTATTAAATTAAAAAATTGTACAGATAAAAATAAAAATTCTTTTGGGACGGATAAATCAGAAATTTTGCAATCGCCATTAAAGCTTTTACATCATTCTTAACGTAAAAAATGAATATTACAACATTCTTGTATCCCGAAATATTATAATTTCCAAGGATTCGATGAATGTATCGTCTTTTATTTGAAATTTATACAAATTTATAATAAAAATCGATGAGTTTTTTAAAATATTCCAAACTTTCAAGAATATTATAGAATTATTTTAAATCGAGCAATTTCGAATTTTTATTGGAGAAATAATTTTTCTTAGTTATATACTTAGTCAAAATAATTTCTAATTCCACGCGTTCTAAATTAAATTCTTAGCAACAACGATGAATAATATTTGCTCGTGTATCCATATATGCTCACGTAAAACGCTATAATTACAGATGCTTTTCATAAATCATCCTCAACTCCGTGAAGGATCAGAATGATAGGTCGTGTGCGCAAAGATTCTCGTGCGGAGTGGAGATTTCGCACAATGGCCGACGAATGTCTAAAAAGCGGCCTGTTAATGGTCAAAGGTGCTCCGGTGGTTGGAAAGGGTTGGTCTCGAGGACGTTTTCACCGGTCTGCCGACGCATAGGCAGGCCAACAAAAGTCGAAAAGGTGAGTGGAAGATTCCCTTCTCCGCGCTCTGTTCCCAGGTCTCTTCCGCCCCCTCCTTTTTTTCTTTCCGGTTCCTACGTTGCTCTCTTCCCGGGGATTTCCCTCTTCCGAACCGAGGCTGCGCTACGAGTCTCGCTCAACCGAACTGCAATGGAATTTGCTTAAGGGTTGAGAGGAGGAAACGGAGGAGGGTTCGAGGAGTAAGGAAAAAAAGAGTGGAAACGTCGGTGGAAACTGAAAGGGAAGTAGAAGTGGGTGCAAGGTAAAATAATGAGCGATTAAAAGGGGAAAGCATGGAGAAGAAGCATTGCGATTGCGTAGAAAGAATATATCTGGTAGCAATGGAATGAAATATGTCGATTTGAATAAAGTCGATGGACTAGAGTCAGAATAATATTTATTTAAGTAGAATTTTTAATTCTTTTTATTTTTAATCCGTGGTCTTGATAGATTTTTTTTTAAAGAAACAATAAATCAATCTCTATATCTTAAATCGGTAACGAATCATTGCACTCGCGTAAAATCATGAATAAAACTCTGATTTCTCATGTAAAAAACATGCAAAAAAAATAAAAATTTTGTCATCAAAATCCTCTCAGAAAATAGAGAAAACCATGCCATTGAAATCCCTTTTTGTTTTATCCCGATATCTCAA